GCCAAGAGAACACATGATAATACTATAGAAAAGCTTCAGGTGTGGACCCTGTGGCAGACAGACATTTGTTGTCTGAGGCCCACAGATTCACAAGTAATTTTGTCCAGCTCCGTCATTTTGCACATGAGGAATTTGGGACTCAGAGAGGGGTAAAAATTGCCCCAAATCCCACAGTAAGTAGCAGAAGGAGAATTCAAACCTAACTCCAAAATGGATACAAATTCAGCACTCTAACTAATCTAGCTAAATTTACAAAGGCATGTCATTGTCTTCTAAGGCAGAGAGTGAACAGATACTGATGAAATCTTAGATCTTGAAATGTTAAAGTTCAGAACAACCAAAGGACCTAGCTTTTTCTACAAGAGCAGACTCATTACTGAGCAGCCTGGATAATTTGAGTCCACATTCTGCTACGAACAAGGGTATTAAGGTACTTTCCCTGTATTCGTTCGTTCATAATGTAGTAAAACCCTTATAATGTATAAGGCCCTGCATTTGGTGCTGAGGAAGACACAAACCTAAATAAATTGTGCTCTGCCTTCAAGGAGCTTAAAATCAAGCAAAAGTAAAAAGACATCTGTATATTCTCTTGAACACAAACTAAAATACAAGTGTGAAAGATAAAAGGTTTTAAGCACTCATTCTGAAAAGGGATCCATGTGGTTCACCAGACTTGGGGGGAGGGAGGGAAGAGGGAGAAAGGGTGGCCATGACACAGAAAAAATTAAGAATCCTGATCTGTACTAACTCCTTTATTTTAAAAATGAGCAACCTGAGGCCCAGAAAGGTTAAACTGAGGCCTAAGCTTGCTCAAAAGTACTAAGTAGGAGAAGCTGGCTAGGCATGCTAATTCCAAATCCCATACTCCTCTACCATACCACACTGTTAATTCAAAGGCAAAGATTTGGTTTCATTTGTATTCTATAGTTTTATAGTTGGCAGTATGATATAATGGAAAAAGCACAAGATTTGGAGTCAGAAGGCCTGGATCTTATTTACATCACTGCTGTTTACTGCCTAGGTGACCTTGGAAAAGTCATTTAACTTCTTATTACTTCACTTTCCTCATTTGTCAAAATTGATCAAGGGGATGGAGGTGAGGAGGTCCATATTGAACAAGATAATCTTCTAAGGCCTTCTTCGAGCTCTTAAAGTCCTTTGTACTAAAGGTTTTGTGTTCTCGGAATCATTTTAAACTCTAGGCTTTATCTTAAAAACAGTGGTTTCTCTGGATTTCAAAAGTGTTCCTAGATAACACTGCTAATAGCATTTCAGTAGCTGGTTAGTAGTTCATGCCTCCAACTGACCTTTTCCTCTATAGCAGATTTAGAGTGATCCCATTTTTTGTGGCAATATTCCCAACTATACTTTTCTTGAATGCTGGAAAGTGACCCAGAAGAATGGAATTACATTTAGCTCTCCTCCTTTTCCTTATTTCCTGCTGCTAGCACCAAACTGAAGTATACAAGAAGGAAAGCAAAGGGAATTTGATCTTTTTTTTCTGTGTCAAGCAAGCCAAGAAGCAACTTAGAAGCCTTCCAGTTTTGTCATGGTCCTTGAAACATTGTCTCTTCAGAGGACAGAACGTAACTTTCTCCCTCCTGCTTTTAAAAGAAACTAGTAACAAACTACTGTATTCAGAATTTACCTTGCAATTGAAGAGAGTTAAATTCTTCCATTTGCTGTAGTTGATATTCATTACGTAAATTGCCACTGAATATTTATGTTGTGGTGTGTAATTAATGCCTTCTTGTTTCTGGTAAATAATTAATTGTAATGATGAAGGCACTGATTGGCCTAGCCAGCAGAATTCTGAGATTCTATTCTAAACCATTCAAGCAAAGTATGAGGTATTTTCTTAGTTCTCAGCTCTGTTGTTCAGTGCTATGAGAATGGAGAAGTAAAATATGGTCACTTGCTTTCAAGGACTTTGAAATCTAGTGAAAGAAATAAAACATGGACACAGTCATAGTACAAAATAGATTCTAAGCACCGTAGCAATATGAACAATGTGTATGAAAGTTCAGAGGATAAAAGAGATCACTTCTCACAAGTGTGTTCATGGAAGACTTAGAATCATAGATTTAAAGCTGGAAGGAACCTTACAATTTGATCTGATTCAGGAGTGTCATTTTACACATGAGAAAACAGAGAACCAAAGAGGTTAATTGATTTTTCCAAGATAACTCAGAAAGTGGCAAAGCCAGGATTTTAGCATTCATTCTTTCTTCTGACTCCCATGGAAGACATGCTGGACCTTAGCAAACTTCAGGGCAGGTGCTGTCTCACTCATCCCTGCATTTGCATATCAGGTTAGAACTAAGGACAAGACCTGTGATTTCATTGGTACAGGGAATTGCTGGGAGAGGATACTCCCTCCCCTACAAATGCAGACCTGCACTTTCTCAGCAGCTTCTAGTCTTAGATATTGCCTTTGTCACTGAGAGGTTAAGTGACTTGTCCAGGGTCGCACAGCCAGGATGTGTGAGAGATAAGACTTGAACCTAGATCTTCCCAGCTTGCCTTACCATGCTACCTCTCCTTCACAGTGCTTTGCACAGAGTAGGAGTTTTAAAAGTGTTTGTGAAATTACTGTATTTCATCATGTAGAAATGGACAGAAAAGGTCTAGATTTCAGGAATTATATCAGCAAAGGCACAGAAACAAGGAAGTATGAGACGGGGAGAAGGAAGACAAGGTTTGATCATGAAGAATAAGTTGTAGTTGGAACAAAGGATTTGAAGGGGAGTAATACAAGAAAAGGATAGAAATAGGAGGCTGAATTCTAGGCCTGTAGTGCTGCCATAAGAATTTAGAGTCCAGGGGTGGGAGATGGGGAGGGAACCTGCAGCTTTGAGGCCACATGTGGCTTTCTAGGTTCTTGGGTGCAGCCTTTTGGCTGAATCCAAGTTTTACTGAACAAATCCTTTTATTAAAGGGATTTGTTCTGTGAAGTTTGGATTCAGTCAAAGGTCTGTACTTGAGGACCTCGAGGGCCTCATGTGACCTCGAGGGCACAGATTCCCCACCCCTGGTTTAGACTTTATTCATTAAGCGGTGGCAAACTATTGAAAGTTTTTGGTAAGGGGAGCAACATGATGAACTTTAGGAAGATTAATTAGTCAGTTTGTGTAGGATGCATTAGCAAGTGGACAAAGTAGAGGCAAGGAGATGAGATTAGGAAGCTTCTACACAACTAAAAAATAATGAGGGACTGGACTAGAATATTGGAAGTGGGAATGGAGAGGAGAAGACATATACAAAAGGGATTCTGGAAGTGGGATTGACAGGTTCCCAGCCAATGGGCTGTGGATTCCAGGGGTAGCCAAAGAACTATGACAGTGGTATATGTGGTTCTAACTCATTTTCAACCTCTTCCTCTGTTTTTCTCCTCTTTTTCCTTTCAATTTTTTTATCTGATATTGTGGGGTTTTTTTTATTGGATTTGTTTTTATTTTTATTAAAATATGCATTGTGAATACAGCTGTCAACATGAAAGGATCTGACCAGGGCATAGTATAGGATAAAGGAGAAGGAGGAGTCAAAAAAGACCAAGATTTTGAGCCTTGTGGGTTGGAGGATAGTGCTACCATTAACAGAAATAGAAAAATTCAAAGGAACTGTTGTAGGGTGAAGATGATAAATTTAATTTTAAATATATCATTGAAGTTGACATCATAGTTGAACACTAAGGTGGAAATGCCTAGAAATACTAGTCTGTAACCTAAGAGAGAAATCAGTCTTGGAAATAGATTTAGGAGTGAGAACTTAAGTTACAGGAGTGAGATTATCAAAGGAGAGAAATGTTCCTCTTTGAACATACCCAAGCATAGTTGGATTTTTGTTTTGTTTTCATTTTAGCAAGTATATTATAAAATATTTAGCAAGTATAAATGGGTATTAAAAAGTAAATTATTAAGACCATGCTTTGGACTGTCAGGAACACTAACATCAATAACAAGATAAGAATGAGGTATAAGTAACCCTTCAGGTGAAAATACATTAAATGACAAACTAATTGTGTAAGCATAAGTCATAATAAAGATACAAATATATTTTGCTTTCACAAGCAAGCATTAAGTGATTTCTGAGTAATCAGTAATGCATTTTTCTCAAGAAGAAAAGGGTTTAAACTAAGCATTGGTTCCCAGCCAGGAGGCCATGGAGGCCAGGGGTAGCCACAGTTATGATAGGAGTGTATATGTGTCTAACTCATTCTCAACCTTTTTCTGTTTTCCTCTTCTCTTGTCTTTCAATAAAAAAATGTGTTATGAGTACAACTACCATCATAGAAGGGTCTGTGACTTTTTTGATATTAAAAAGTTTTTATACTCATAGATTGGTACTTGTACCAATAGATTGGTACTTCATACTCATAGACTTTAAACCACTGATTTAAAGTAATTAGAATTAGGTTGTGTGTTGGGGCATGAAGCAAGGAGGTTTGAGTTCATGCCTCATATCCAGGTTGACTATGTAAAAGTTGAACCCAAGTACCAGAAGAAAATGACGTGTAAGTTCAGCAGAAGATTAGCAAAGAGTCCTTTCCTTCCCCCTCTGGTAGTATGGGGAGTAAGGTAGAGAAGGGAGAAATATCCCTTTAATATCTTCACATATAATAGAAGAACTGGAAAAGTAGAAGAGCTTCAGGCTGTTGGAATTCCGTGAATGACTTTATGTTGCATTCTGGACTGATGTTGTTACTCCACCTCAAAGGGTGGGAGGTCTGCAGCATTATGGACTTGGAAAAATGCATTCTTTGTTCTTAATTTTTTGCATTGTAGTAGCAATTTCCTTTCTAATTATTTTGGCAAAACACTGACATAATGGACCATTGACTAAGACTTAGGCATAATCATTATTATGATGAATTTTGTATTACTATTTGTGTTGTGTTCAGATCTGCCCTATTTACTTTTGCAAAGTCAAGTGTTTTATGTCATAATTCTAAGCAATTTTTAAAGTACTTTACTGAGACAGATTTCCTTGTTTCTTTATAGTCATGGTCTGAACAAATTCTTTTCCTGTCGAGGGATTGCAATAGCTGTTGAATACTTTTGGAAACTTGGCAACAGAAATATTACAGTATTTGTCCCTCAGTGGAGAACAAGGCGTGATCCTAACATCACAGGTGAGGCAATCAGTGAGTTTTTCTAGACTTCTAACTGAAAAGTATTGGTTTCTATATTTACCATTTACTGTTTGGGCTAAAGTCCCATGCCAACAGATATTTCTTCAATAGCCTGCCTTCCTTCCTTCCTTCCTTCCTTCCTTCCTTTCCTTCCTTCCTTCCTTCCTTCCCTTCCTTCCTTCCTTCATTTCCTTCCTTCTTCTTTCCCTCCCTCCCTCAGTACTTATGTTGCTCTTGATACTTTTTAAAGCTCCTTTGTACCTCCAGCTTCTGAAATTATGTCACTGGAAAGTTTTAAAACCTATAAATCTGGGATTTCATAAGAATTCAGGTGAAGAGATTATGTTTTATAGGAAAAGCCATCTATTGAGTTGATTTTCTTCATAACTGGAGAAAGTTTTTAATAGTGGTATGACACTCTTTGAATGAGATGTGTTCTCTGAGTATTTGACTTTTAAAGTGATCATCTGCTTTATGGGCTTACTATAAAATATTTTGTTTACTTGTTAACACATTACAGCTAAAAGCCACGCAAATAAAAGGTTTGAATTTGAGTAATTATTGCCTAAGTAAATTTAAGGCTATCTCTTAAGGAGGCCACATAAGAAGATGGATGGAAAGGCCAGTGCCTGAGATGTAAGGATCAAACAGATCCTTGACCATATGCAAACATAGTAGAGGAAATCAAGAATTGAACAGGAAGTGAAATTTAGCAGGAAATGAAACTTGGTCATTAGTACAACCTGGTTTCCAGAAAGGATGAGTCAACATTTGGTGAAATTACCACTTGAGATGTAAAAAAAGAAATGAAATTAATAGCACACATTTCCTAAAGCCCTGCAGATTTAGGACTGAGGAAATCCTTCAGATTCTCTCATTTTTTGAGAAGTTGTTTTCCTTAAACATGATCTTTGTTTTGTTGTATATGGATCCCTTAGGGAACATAGCAATCTTTATGTATTGTGCTTTCAGAATCGTAAAATACTTCATGTTCTCTTCCACTTAGAGCAGCTTCTAGTACAGGAGTGAGGAACCTCTCTCCCTGAGGTTCCTTTCTTCCTGCCATAGGCATGAAGCCTCCCTGGCCACCCTATCCAGTAGCTATACCTTCATTCTCTTTGGCTCACTGGTCAGGGTGGGAATGTTGGAATACTCCTTGTTCCCCATTGCCACTTCCAGGTTTCTCCCCCTTCCTCCACCACTCAATAATCTCTTCCTGTGAGGTTCATGCTATTCATATCTACTATCCAGTGATAATCCTGGTACCTGTTGTCTGCAGACCCCCAGGTGACTCCCCTTCTTTCCTTAGTGAGTTCAGTACATGGCTCACGATATTTTTCTCCTCATCAGCTCCTGCTCTCATACTTGGGGACTTCAACATACATATTAACTCTCCCTCAAACACCCTACCCACTCAGTTCCTAAAACCTACTCCCTGTGACCCACTCCTCCACCCCTCCTCAGACACACACACTACTAGCTGGTCCTACCCTTGAAGTTCCATTACCCACAAACGTACCCCCTCCAAGTTCAAGAATTCTGAAATCCCCTTATCCAACCATAATTACTAACTTTTCACCTCTCTCTGCTAAACCGCACTCTTCCTCCGCACTGTGACCTTCAATCCTTTTGACTCTTCAATTCTCTCCCAGACTATTTCTTCTGCACTAACCACTCCCTCCTCTTTTTCCCATCTTGACTTCTTGGTGAACCAGTTCAACTCTGCACTGTTCTTTCTTGAATCCCTAGTCCCCTTATCGTTTCTCCAGTTATACCCTGCCAAGCTTCAGCCTTGAATCACTCCCACCGTTCACTGCCTTTGCTCCTACACACATGCTGCTGAATGGAAGTGGAGAAAATCACCCACCTGTTCTGACTAGGTCCACTGCAGATTTATGTTACACAATTTCAACTGGGCCCTCACTGCTACTGGACAGTCCTTCTACACCTCTCTTATCAACTCACTGGCCCACTCTCTTCAGTAGCTCTTCCAAAACTTTATCCCTCTTCAAATCTTTCGTGGCTTCCCCCTCCCCTCACCCTCTGTGCTGAGAACCTTGCCTCATATTTCACTGAAAAAATTGAGGCCATTTGCAGTAAACTCCCTCTTCTCTCGTCTTCTTCATCTCATGTCGCTCTTAGGTCTATCTATATCTTCCTTCATGTCTGTGTCACATGGTAGCCTTACTCCTTGCCAAGGCTAAACCCCTCTACCTACTTAAGCAAGCTCATTCAATCTTTCCCTGTCTACTGGCTCATTCCCTACTGCCTTCAAACATTCCCATGACTTCCCCCATCCTGAAAAAACCCTCATTTGATCCTTCCAACCCCACCAGCTATCATCCCTAATCTCTTCTGCCCTTCATGGCTTACCTCCTTGAAAAAGTCATCTACAATAGGTGCCACCAGTTTTTCTCCTTTCACTCTCTTCTTAAACTCTTGCAATATGGTTTCCTACCTCATCATTACACCAAAACTGCTCTTTCCAAAATTACCAAAGATCTCTTGCCTCTTAGTTGTCAAATCCAGTGGCCTTTTCTCAATTCTCATTCTCTTTGAGCTATTTTCAGTCTTTGATGCTGTTAATCATTCCTTCTTGATGCTCTTATCTCTCTAAAAGGTTTTTCTATCATCCCTGTCTCCTAGTTCTCATCCTATCTGACCTCTCCACTGGTGACTTATCTAGATCATGCCCTCTAACTGTAGGTGTCCCAGAAGGGTTTTGTTCTGGGCCCTCTTCTCTTCTGCCCTATACTACTTCTCTTGGTGACCTCATCATCTTCTATGGATTTAATTACCATCTTATGCTGATGATTCTGAAATCTATCTATCCTACCTCAACATCTCTTCTGACCTGTACTCTTGCATCTCCAACTACCTTTCAGATAAACTGGATGTCCAGTAGACATCTTAAACTCAACATATCCAAAACAGAACTCATTATTTTTTTCCTTCTAACATTCCCCCACTCCTCCCCACTCAGCACACTTTTCCTTTTGCTATAGAGGGCAATACTATCCTCCCACTTCCTTAGGCTCACAACCTAGGTGTCATCCTTGACCCCTCACTCTCGCCACTCAACATCCAATCTATTGCCAGGGCCTGTTGATTTCACCTTTGCCACATCTCTTGAATAAACCCTCTTCTCTCCTCTGACACTACCACCACTCTGATACGAGCCCTGATCACCTTGTGCCTGGACTATTGCAACAGTCTGCTGTTGACTCTGCCTGCCTCAAGTCTTTCCCTACTCCAATCCATCTTCCAGTTAGCCACCAAAATGATTTTCCTAAAATGCAAGTCTGACCATGTCATCCCTCTACTCAGTAAACTCCAGCGGCTCCCTATTGCCTCCCAGAACAATTACAAGATGTCCTGTTTGGCATTCAAAGCCCTTCATAATGTAGCCCCCCTCCTAACTTTCCATCTTCTTATATCTTCTTTCTAACTCACACTTTATAATCTGGTGACACTGGTCTCATGGCTGTCCCATGAGCAAGTTTCCCCAGCTGCCACTCTGGCATTCTGTCTGGCTGACCCCCATGCCTGAAACCCTCTTGTCCTCTCTGTTCTGACTACTGACCTCCCTGGCTTCCTTTGAAGATCTCAACTAAAATCCCTCCTTTATACAGAAAGCCTTCCCTAACCTTTTTTTAATTCTAATGCTTTCTCTCTTTCAATTATTTCCTGTTTATCCTACATGTGGCTTGCTATGTATATATTTGTTTGCATGTCTCCCCATTAGGTTGTAAGTTCCTTGAGGGCAGGGACTTTTTTCAACTTTTTTTGTATACACAGTGCCTGGCACATAGTAGGCACTTAATAAATGTTTATCAATTGATTGAAAGGCAAGTTTCCTAAATTTCAACTATAGATTCATAGATTATTAGAACTAGATGGAGCTTTGAAGATAATATAGTCAAACCCTTCATTTTACAGATCAGGAAACTGAGGCTCAAAGAGAAGAAGTAACTTTCCCAAGATTTCATTAGGAACAGAGCACTGATAGAAGCCTTCTTTCCTGGCTCCTGGCCCATTGTTCTTTGTTATCACACTGGCTCACATCTCTCAGACTTGTGTCCTGCCCCAAAAACCATTAAGGTCAACAAGTACAATTGTATAACATCAGAAATACTTTGGGGTCTGGAAAACAATCCCTTTCAATTATGCGCCTAACTCAGTCTCAGCCTCTTTCTGTGATTTTTCTCTGTTTTTCAGTTCCCTTACCTGCTATTTTTTTTTCTTTTTTTCCTCTGGCCCTTTCTCTGTATATTAACTGACTGTAATGTGGAACTGAAGTGCTTTCTTATTGTACTGTTTTAAATGAAGTTTTATGTTCTCTTAATTTATTTAAGTCACTTGAATTGCTTTATATTACTCTAAAAAAATTAAAATAGTATCAAGTTATAAGTTGTATCTTAGGATTTTTTTCCCCTGTCATTGAGTTTAGGGGGGAAACCTGGGCCTTCCCTGTGCTAGTAAACAAATCAGTTCAATTTCTTACTTGTGTGCATCTTTTTGCTGAATGACTCATTTATTCTGTGAACAGAGCAACACTTCTTGACCCAGCTCCAGGATCTCGGAATATTATCTTTAACCCCTGCTCGGATGGTCTTTGGAGCAAGAATTGCTTCTCATGATGACAGGTATGAAAAGCAGTTTCCTTTTATCTTGTTGAAATGGGGTAGTGAGGAACACACCTGAGAACCAGTTAGCACAGTTTCACAGTTGGTGGGGGAGCATTTTATTTTTTTTTTCCTAGCTCACCCTTCAAAGGGCTAGGGACTCAACGCAACAGGTCACTAAAATATCACTTAGAGTCATGAGGTTGTATGTTTGCATGTCTTTGGGAGAAGAGACTAAATCAAAGAGAAAGCTAATCTCTTTTCTATCTAATTAAGGTATTAAACAACTTGTACAACAGGGATGAGAGTTCAAAGCTGTAAAAGTACAGTATGATATTAAGTGAGACTTTTATATTTAAAATCCATTACAAAACAGTTGATCTTGCTTTAACAACTTCTTTGATGGTACACATAGTGCTGCCCTCTGGCATAGTGTTTTGGTCAGTCACTTTGTCCTTATATTGCTCCCACTCTCCTTTATCTGAATAATAGAAGATGGTACCCTACATTGTTTTAATTCTAGGCTCTGTCTGGGCCCAACCACCATTATAACTAGATTTGCCCAAATGCAAATTTGACATTGCAAGAAGTCATTGGTCCCTCTAATGTAGCTTAACCCTCTACAAAACATGATTAATAATAGTACAGTCAATCAGGAGGAACTTAGAACAGGAATCTGGAACCATATAGCATTGCACTTGCCTTGGACATCTTAGACATTTTCCCTAGGGTTCACATCTATCCATTAGACAAACATTTACTGAATACCTCACATTCAAAACACTAGTTCTATGTTGTGGAGGCATGAGTGTGGAGAGCGCACTAGATAGTAAGTCAGTAGGACCCGGGTTCATGTCTCACCTCAGTCATTTAACTCACTGTGCAACCCTGGGGAAGTCATTTAACCTCTTGTGCCTTACTTTCCTCATTTGTAAAATGAGAGGGTTGGACTCACCTCTAAAGTCTCCTCAAGGTCTGAATCTGTGATCCTATGTGTAAGACATGTTCTTATACAGGAAACTTACAGTCTATTACTGGGGCACAAGATACAGAAATAAGATCATAATATTAGCAAGGTAGAATATAGTAAGTACAATAAGAGATGCAATATGGTTTAGCAAAAAGAACACAAGTTGGATTCTGACCCCTTTCTGTGTGATTATAGTTAAATTACTTAATTTCTCTGAGCCTCAGTTTCCCCACCTCTAAAATGACATATTTGCACTATCTGCCTTACAGAGTTGTTAAGGAAAACAGTAGGCAAACCTTAAACTACTTTATAAACAAGCTGCTGTAATTATTTTTTTATTCTTATTATTCTCATCATTAACAAAGTGGAAAAGAGAGAAAAAAACCCAACCTATTTAAAATCATGGAAGTCTTACTAGAGGAAGTAGCATTTTGAGGAAGTTATGTGGAAATATGGTGATTGGTTCTGGCCAAGAGACTGAGAGTAGAGTAGGTGGAAGAGATGTTTCAGTGCTCATACCAGGCCTGTAACTGCTACTTAGAGAGAAGCAGGCATCCAGGATCTAGGAAGGAGGGCAAGAATGCCTTCTAGGCCGCACATGGGATGCTGCCATTAAAGAGAGCCATTAGCTCTTCTGTCATTGTAGCATCCTTCCCTGAAGCCAGCTTTTGAGTCATTTTTTAAAGACTTACATAGGACCCTCCCTATATTAGACTTAAGCTTTATGTGTTCAAAGAGCAGTGCTCTTCCAAGAAGAGTATACTTTGTGATGTGGTGCATATACTCAGAACCCTACCCCTGTTATTAGTAATCCTGGCAAATGTCCTCACCAGTCACAACTCTCATCAGCAAAAAATAACTTCCAAAATAGGACCATTACTTACAACACCAAAGGGTTAATCATTTATTTATTTATTTTCCCAGTTTTACTAACATCAATGAGAATAACGGGTATTTTCTTTATCCTTATGATTATTTGTGCCCAACAATAAAAGTAGATGCTGTTTAGACTTTTGATACCAATGATTCTCTTAATTCCTTAATTTATTTCATCATTCTGTTATACGTAAGTTCAGAGGCCTTAAATCAATGCAGACATTCTGCGTAAATGGGAAGAACCAACCTTGTTGCTATCTGAAAATCATTTTACAGCCCATAACTGATCATAGGAGGAACTCAAACCATATTTCTTTTCCCATAAACCTTGGCATAATTCTCATTTGTGGGGTTTAAGTATCTAATTCCCACTAATGAAATAGATGACAGCATTAAAGTTTAATTGTTACCATTTCAGATCATCTCTTTTCCTCTTGGAGCTTTTGCATTTGATAGAATGTGTAGCTAAATAGAATAGTAGAACTAATGTCCTAGGCATCAGAGTATTGAGAGCTGGAATGTGAATTAGTAGAAGCAGGTTTAAACTATTCAGACTTTTAAAAAAAATTTCTCAGGCATGAATGACTTTGCTATCACAATAGCAACAAATAGCTAGTGTTAAAGTAAAGCTAAGCTACTTAGAATTTGCCGCCTAATAATAGTTGGCAATAATAGTCACATGATATTTCTATTAAATTCACCCGACCTCCCACTTCTACAGGCACATCCACTTTCCTTTCGAATGCAGTGTCTTCTAACTACTTCATCTGCTGATAATACAGTTGTACCTTGTTTTAAATAATAATTATGTGCCTGGAAAAGTGTACAGATGATTTTTCCATCAATTTCCTTTGTGACCCATGGCTATAAAATGAGGAGAGTGATCTTTGGGGGGTGGCATTAACAGATCAATCTTGTTGCTTTATAGTCTCCCTGTGCATTATAAGTGTTTTAGCTTCATTTCTGACTGCTCAGGTATTTAATAATTTGTTATGTGATTCTTAAATGCATTTGGATGTTTTCCTTTGCTTGGTGAATCCTTTTTGAAAAATGAATAATTACTACAAATGTATGTTTCATGAGTTTTGGTTTTTTTTTTTTAAAGTAGGGCACAGCTGTACATTTTAACACCTCTCATGTTATCATAGGTTTCTGTTGCACCTAGCTGACAAAACTGGTGGCATAATTGTAACCAATGATAACTTCAGAGAATTTGTGACTGAATCAGTATCTTGGAGAGAAATTATTAAAAAAAGGTAATATTTACTTCTTTTCCGTCAAAAAATATTTGAGTATCTACTGTGTGCTTCTTACTAGGTACTAAGGTGGTACAAAAGTAAGTATCAAGCATGGTCCTTACCCACAGGTATTGCTCTCTAGTTGGGAAAAAAAAACATACCCACATGAAACAGGGAACCAGACAGTCTCTGTCTCTGTCTCTGTGTCTCTCTTTCTTTCTCTTTCTCTGTCTCTGTCTCACACATACACACACACACACACACACACACACAAACACACACACACACACACCAACTAAGTTGTACAGACAGTAGAGGCCCTTCTTGAGGGCCCTTCTGTTATCCTATCATTCAAATTCAGAAATAGGACAATCTAGAATACTGTGCAAATTCTGCCACTGGTTTCATGAAATAGGAAAAACAAGGGTGCTATTAGAATTTGCATCACGTGCATCTGTTTTGGTGCCAAGGTAAAGTCATGCGATGCATTTTGTTCTGTTTTGTTCGCCCACTTACCATGTCTCAGGTATTTTGGTTTTTCACTAAAGAATGAAAAAATAACCCATTTTCCTATCAGTATCTAGAGAATTAGTCAATCAGCATTTGTAGCTCAAGCAGCAAAATGGAACTTTCGCCTTCTGCACATAGTTCACAAGTCACTAATAATGCTTTCTTGACATGTGTTTGCTTAATCTTTGCCCTGTGCTTCCCCTTTACCAACATGTGTTCATTGGTCCCATAACATACATACAAACACTTGGATACACATGCTCTTGGAGGACATAGGGCCCACATATTGACATGGAGACATGAAGCAGACTTGGGACAATACAGTCAGAGCCTCAGACCATCTAGGATCTTTACAAATCTGTTACCTATGCCACTGAAATAACATCATAACTTCCAGAGGAACTCATCACTTTCTTTTAAACAACTCTTTTCAGAATGGATTGCCTGAGGAGCTCCACAGCTTCCCCCAGGCTTCCCTGACAGGAACACGGACAGGGTTTTAAGCCTCTATTTTCACTTGAGAGTTAAATGGCAAACATTTCTCAAAACCCAGAGAAGTGTCCAAAAGACTTTCAGGTGAAGTCCTGATAAGTAATGGAAAGTCCAGCTGATGGAGTTCTAGCTATTCTGAGTTTTTATTCAGAAGAAGAGAATGAAGCTAATATGAGAGAGTTTTTTCTTTAGGTAAGCAAGCTCCGAGTTTGTCAAGTGACTTCTGTTTTGGATTTAGACGGATGCCTCACATAGTGTTAAAAATGGCAAATTTGCTCCAAAGTTCAGAAACTAAGTGTTGCTCTTACTCTCTCCTTCGTATTGTAGGTTGCTTCAGTATACGTTTGTTGGGGACATATTTATGGTTCCTGATGATCCTCTGGGAAGAAGTGGACCTAGATTAGAGGAATTTCTTCGTAAAGAAGTCTTCCTTGGGTATTTCCTTTTTCTGGTTATTGCCTTTTTCTGGTATAATTTTGGGATTTTTAAACTTTTGTGGGGGAGAAATTAGTGCCCTGTATTTTAAAAACTTTATAATATAGTGTATTTTTATGAATACTTTAAAATAAATGCTAATGAAAATATCAAAGCTTATCTCACGGATATGCAGAAAGACCAGGCTTAGAGTTATGTTCACTTTTGCTTAACTCATGTTTGTCTTATGATATGTTGGCACCATATACATCATAGATTGATAAAACCAAAGCAACAAAACATTATTTTCTGTGCCAGAAAGACAAAATAAAGATAAATTCCAAGATGGATGGTCTCATATTAACAAAGGTAAGCAAACATGGGCTTCCTCCATGTGAATGTCACTTTATTTTCATTTTCATAGGCAGTTGTTTTGCTTAAGTCGGGGGCCAGCGGTGGGGTAGGGTGGGGGGTAAGGGGTTGTATGTGTGTATGTGCCCGTGCTCGCATGTGCATGTGCACGTGTAATCAAGTTTTTAATATTGCACATTTATAGTGGTCCAGCAATTACTTCATTAAGAAATCATGTCTGCTGCTCTTTCAAATTTATCTGGAGTTTATTTCATCTTTTTTGGGGGGTGGTGAGGGGGAGGTGTTAAAAAATTGATTTTCAGAGGTACAAAGTAATTGTCATTTAAAGTTAATTATACATCACATTGATAAGCCTTGTGACTAGATGGTTAAAGGCTACTCCTACCTTGTTGGAATTGGCTTGCTCAGAATGTTATTTCTCAGGAAATATTAATATTAAACTTATAAATTAGGAGCATAGCTGCCCTGAATTTCATATTTTTCATTCTGCCTTTAAGGTAGTAAGTCTTTTCAAGCCAGCCCTTCAAATTTATACTGACACCATTTGGCTTTAGTCATCTCTTGAAAATGAGATCAAAGTAAATGCTGGTTTCAGACCATGTGAATGATGTATAAATCTTTTTTTGTCTCCTACCTTTGAATATTATATTGAGAGTCAGCACTCAAATGCCACAACTTTTTTGCTCATGAAACCATAAGGCCAATTTTAACTGTACAGTGTCTATATAAGTCAGGCTTCTTTCTCTAAGGCCTTTCTTAAGACTTGTAGGGTGATCAGTACTAATGGCATTCACACACCAAGGGTAGCAAAAAGAGATGATTTTTTGAGCAGCTTGAAGAACACACACACACACACACACACTCTCACACACTCACTCACTGGGTCCTGTTCTGGTCTTCACCTAGCTGTTAGATGATTCCTCCTAAACTGTTAACTGATAATTATAACCTTACTGATTTATAGGCTAAAGTATAGCCCTTTAAAGGATTATTTGAGAAGGGGACTGTTGAAGCTAGAACAATAGCCTTTGGTGGAAGAACTTGGACCCGAGACCATTAAAATGGGATGTAGAGACAGAAGTCTTGCCTCCAAAAAAGAACCAGCCTGACCACAGTTCCCTTTCTATTTTTCATTCCTTGGTTTTGCCACTAATATTTTAAGACTCAGAGCCTTTAACTGGGATGTGATGTTCTCTCCACAGGACCATGGCCATTCCCCTTTCATAGTCTTAGCCCTACCATTTCACACCACATTAGCTTCTGGCCCATTGGCACTGTGTACCACATGCTTCCATTTCTGACTCCTGCCCTATGTTATCCTCTTGCCCCAGGAGTCCAAGGAACAGAGTTTTGAACCATGAGCATACACAATGACATTTTAGGGAATTTCCCTTTTGTTCAATAAGCTTGCTTACCTGGGCACTCTTCCATTTGTAGGGATTTTCCACCTCCGCCCGGAGTTCTGCCAAGTGGAGGACTGCATGAAACTGCCTTCAGGGTCCCCAGCACCAGCCGACAACCCACACCCCCGATTCAGGGAGTTCTTCCAAGCAACTGGATTCCCCAGCAACCTAACCTCCCAATCCTACAAAATCTAGCCAATATCCAACCAAGCCTGACAGTTCCACCACAGAGATCCCCAGCAGAAACTAAACAGCTGAGGGAAGCCCTCCTGAAGATATTCCCAGAGTCAGAGCAAAGAATGAAAATTGATCAGATCCTGACAGCACATCCATATATGAGAGACCTGAATGCACTGTCAGCCATGATATTGGATTAAGGGTATATTGGGAAAGTTTGCAATTACAGCTGATCCATTAAACCTGCAAGTAGCATCTGCACATGTTGGGAATGGAAATAATGTGAAGAAATCAATTTGCCAATATAAACCCTATTTGAACAAAACAGAATCAAATGTTTTGTGTATAAAAGATCTGTTTTCAAAACTGGCTTTATACATATATATGTATGTATATGTATGTGTATATATATGTATATGTATGTGTGTGTGTGTGTATATATATATATATATATACACACACACACATATATATAAATGATGCTGCTATTACAGACTTAATATTAACATTTTCTGTAAAAGGAAAGTCTACATTTTCTGCCTGTTCAGAACTGTTTCATAGCAGCTTATTCTAGTGTATTAACGTTTTTATGTGTTTTTTTAAACTATTTTCCTTAAAGATTAAAATGTTGGCAAAATGTGATAAAATTAGCCTTTGTAAAATAAAGAGTAGCTTTCTTAAGGAAAGCATGATCTCTTAAAGTATATTTTCTTGAGGTGAACATGTTATGTCCACTGACATGAAGTATGCCCCTTGAAATAAAAGTAGGGGGTAGTTAAGCAAGAAATGCTTTTGCCCATTGGGGATTTTGTTTGTTTGTTTTGGGGCTTGGGGGCTTTTGTAGTATTGGACAAGTAATGCCACTAGATGGCACCTTCTGCCTTTTGGTTTTTGATGACCAGGGGAATGCAGGCATCTTACAATGCTAGATCTGGAAAGGACCTGAGAGTTCCCTTAGTCCAACCTCCTCATTTTATAGAGGAGGAAAGTGAGCCCCTGGGAAGGTAAAGGACTTGTCTAAGGTCTCACAGCTAGTTAGTGGCAGAGGTAGAACTCCTGATTCCAGGCCAGTGCTCTTTCCACTCTGCAATGCTACCTCCCCAATGAACCCATTTGACTGAAATAAGTTCTTAGCATTTAAAGACAGCAGTGAAATATGAAGGAGAAACTGATTCAAAGAGCCTCATCTATTGTGGCAAACAGGTATGTTCATCGTCCACACATGGGGCTTTTGATTATGTCTTATATGCAGACTTTGCCAGAAAATGGTTTGGTTTTTTTTTTATTATTATCACGTGACCCAAGCCAATAAAATAGCATTAATAGCTTCACATGGGAATTTCTGTACTCCTGTATTTATTTGTTCTATGTTTATCTGTTTATAATGGTCTAGTCTATTCTCATACAGTCATGCCTGCACCTCAGTCTCTCTCTCTCTGTGTCCCCCCCCCATTACTTTCTGTCACATTTTCACTGTTTCCCCAAACTCTGTACAAATGAAAGCCTTTGCTAAGGTACTTCTGGGCATTTTATGGGCTTTGTGTTGTATACAAGGTTATTTGTCTGAGAAACTCAGGGGTTTGTCTTTTATGGCTTATTTGTGATGGCCCCAGGCCCAGAAGCAAGTAGAAGGCCTCATATTAGGAGCCATTTCCCTATGGGGATAGTTCAGGTACTTGGAAATGGGAAAATTCATCCAGTCAATCTGGGTGGATCTCTCTGGGGCACTCTTCCTTTAGCCATCTTTCTTAGTGGATCTGTTTGATCCTAGCATCTGTGGTTTACAGGTGGTTATAAATCCAAACATGCCCTGACAGAGGACTTTTACTTCAATCATGTCTTATATTTGAGGATTTCAGCATGAATCATCACATGGAATTAGCTCTTAGTTGTCAGAGCTATGTTTGGGTGTTGTTATCTGTGAAAGAGGGGACCAAAGAGAAACTGAGGCTAAACCAGTAAGATAGTTGATCTAGCCCCCACCTGGGTCTTTAGACTGAGATCAGATTCACCTGCTCCCTCTGTGATCTCAGCAGCCCCTCCAGCCAAACTTGTAAATATGTGACTGGTTAGTAAAAGGCATCCTCCATCCTAGAACTGGGGCTTGATACCAGCACTTGTGCAACCAGTATTTCATGGACTTAAACACAAGTTCTTATGCTTGATTCAATAATTCCCCATCTCTTCAATAAATGTACAAGAGTGCCCAAGAAAAGTCCTGATAGCTGAATGATCCTGGCAGGGAGAGAACTGGATTTTCACTAATGGGGAGGGATGGTAAGGGAAATGAATAAGCATTTATATAACTCCTATGTGCCAAGCACTGCACTCAGTGCTTCAGGACACTATGAAACCCAGTGGTAGGGGGCCAGCATAGCCAAAGAGCTAGAGAATGGGGTGAAATTTTTTCTTGGTTCTATTAGTGACTTGCTGTCCAACTTTTGACTAGTTCTGTTTCTGCTCCCTGTCTATAAGAGATATGTACCTATCATTTTCCTGTTTCCTTAGTAGAAAAATTAAGAATATATAGCAATGTCTTCCAGAAGAGGTTTTAGGTAGAAACAAAGTACTGTTTTACTGTTTTAAAACCAGAATGCATATGGCTGAGGAATAAGAGATTGTCAAGCAAGGATCGCAGTCCTTTTTGACTAACTTAAAATTCATTCACTGAGGCTCCAGGTAGTCAAAGATGGAAGAGGAAGAAATTGCCTATTCCCAGCCTCCTCCTCTCTGTATTTCTTTTCTCAGTATGCTACTGCGTGCTCAATAAATACTTGTTGAACCAAATCAATACCTGTTGATAAAGCATGTATTAATGCTATTTTGGGTTTGCCTAGTGTCTAGTACTGTTTCAGAGTGGGTTTTACATGGAGATTATTTCACTTGTTTATCACAGACAATGCCCCCCCACACACACACACACAATTCCCCCATCAGGCAGGGTAGGGCAGAGACTATTATCACTTGATAAATGAGGAAACCAAAGGTCAGTTTTGTCTGAGGTCACCTAGCTAGTGGGCAGCTTGGACTAGAACTGGGAGTCCCTGGCTTCTAGTCGAGCAATCTTTTTGTTTTATTTTTTCCCCACAGAAGGTCTTTATACAGAAATGAAAATACAGCTTCTCTATAGACTAAGGAGCATTTGATCATTCCCTCTTATGATGACTTTTAATCCAAGAAGCCCAGAGCAGAGGGGTAAGGAGCCCTCTCCCTAGAAGAATAGACCAGTTTGACACTTGCGCTACTTGGGTTTTATGCCACAAGAAAAGAAATCCTGGACGCTGGAGATAGGTATATAGGCCAGCTAGGTCAGTGGATAGAACAGAGGGCAAACTAGGTCAAGGTCACAAATTGGTATTTCCCCATAGAACTTCACAGGTACAGATTACATTCCTCACCCTAGCCAGCTACCTTTTGATCACCAGGAGAACTGAAAAGCAAGAAAGCACAGGTTGATAGGATTAGGGACTAGAGGGAGATCATCTGCTTCAAATCCAACACCCTCTTCTTCCTCTCCCTTTGCAGTTGAGAAGATTTGAGGCTCAGAGCAGGGAAATTACTCGCCTATCATAAAGCTAATAAGTAACAAAGCTGGGAATAGAATCTAGGTTTTCTGACTCCAGATCTAATGTTCATTGCACTGACTCTGACATGGTTCAGTGCAGTCTATCACCACTCTTGGAAACATCAAATTACATACATGCATTAGGAAAGACAGGCCAGTGGCCCCATCTGGTTAGAGCAAGGAACAATGCACTTTGTGGTTGGCACTTTCTGGGAGCAGCATTCCTTATAGTACCAGATATAAGGAGAGGCCATCATTTGGCTAGAAAGTCAGCCCTTTGCTAGATAGCCAGCACTTGGAAGCTAAATGTTTAATTTTCTTGTTTATAAGGTGGTAATGTAACATCAGACACTAAGGACTTGGGAAGAGAAAACTGTGTAATTGTCAAAAAAGATAGTATGGTGACCTGAGAAGTTCCCAGGTTACAACTGTACTTCCTCCTTCCTCATTCACCTCAGTTTAGGAACCCCTCCCTTGACTGGTTGTGACTCATTGCTCTTTCACCCAGCAGGAGTCCCTCACTAAATTCATTTTCTGTGGTTTTTAAAAGGAAGAAAAAAAATGTTTTTCTGTCTTGTAGTGACTCTCAGGGTAAGCTATCTCAAAAGACCCTCTGCTAATTTTGGAGTCAGATTCTAACCACAATCTGTCCTTACTGGCTGCCCTCTTAGTCCAGGCTTACCAAAACTGGAGACATTTGTTTAGTCATCCCACCTAGAAGCCATTTCCTATCTCCACTGGACCTGCTGAGTTAGAGATCTCGTCACCAGTTTGTTTCTGTTTTCAGAACCTTGAAAAACAAAAAGCATAATCATCTCTGAGCCTACCAACCAGCATAGTATCTACCTAAGGTTTAGGATGAGAAAATTCTTCTCCCTCCGTCAAAAGTCACAATGGAATTTGGGAGAACATAGCTGCTTCTAGGCAAAAGGTGCTGTCTCTGTGACCTGGTGCGTTGGAGGATACTCCATAAGAGGCTTCCCAAAATGAGGGCACCTATAAACATGTTTTTGTTGGCTAGGCTCAGCCTTCACAAAAGTCACCTGCCATGCAAGACAGTGAAACTGCAGTGGGGAATCACAGGTATGAGATGGGGCAGAGAGAGTGTCAACTTTGCTGGGATGGAAAAGATGAGCTGTTTAAGGACAGATAGCGAACTGAGAAGGGACAATGCCAGAAGGGAACTTTGCAGTCTTAGTCAAGGTGCAAAAAGCATTCCCTCTCTATTTGCTGAGCCCAGCAGGCAGAGGAGGATTTCAAGAGGCAACTTGGTGCAGTGGAATGAATGCTGGAATTGTAGTAAGAGGACCTGAATTCAAATCTCTGCTGTGCCCTTTAGTATATATGTGTGACCTGGGGTTGGACTAAATGATCTCTGAGGTTTCATCTAGCTCCAAATCTGTGAACCCCATGCTTAAGACCTTGGGGCATAAAAAGCCTGTTACACACCTCTCAAACCTAGAATAAGCTTAATGGATAAAGCCAGTGGTGATTAACACTATTATATCTTTCGCTATGTTTCTGAGTGACCTTTCTTCTCAGTTTTGTCAAAGATTAACAATCCACTGTGCTTCATAACGATGCCTATTGTGAAATCACAAATTAGAATTTGGAGCTGGAAAGGGGCTTAGAAAGAGTTCAAACCCCTCACTTTACAGAGGAGAAAATATCCAGAGAGCTTGTGACTCACCCAAGGTCATACAGATAGCAAGTTAAAAAGATTGTGATTCAAATCCAAGTCTTCTGATTGTAACCGCAGTGCTCTTTCTAGTACTTCGTGCTGGTTGTGACCTTCAGTAAGGACCTCTCCCAGTTAGCCAACAAAATTCCTTCCCCAGGAGGTCTGTTCTTAGAAATGATTACCAGGCCTAAGGAATCT